GGCGCCGCGCGGGGTCCGGGCGCCTCGGGAGGGCTCCAGGCCGCCTTCCCGCCTCCCCCCGTTAGCTGGGTCTTAACGGATTGAGAAGAAAAGGGAGTCACGCGGGGAAAGGCGCTGCACGGCGCGGCTCCCGCCGGTGTTTTTAGCGGGTGTCTCCCTAAAAAAACGCGCTCTCGGAGTGGGAGTTGGGCACTAAAAAGGCATCCGGCATTTCTTGCCCGCTTCACCAAGGGACGCCCTGGTCTGATGCGTGGCCGCAAGGAACGTCCCAGCTGGGACATGAAACAAAGCAGGACGCTGAGCCCATCGGAACCCTCCACGGGGGACACGCGAAGCGGGTCCCGCCGCGGGTCACGGCGCTGCGGGCCCAGCGGACGCGTTTGCACCCAGCGCACCGTGATGGAGGCCCCGGCGCTCGCGCCGCTGCGGCTGTCAGTCCTGCGGGCCGCGGGCACCTTGCTGCTGCCAGGAGGAGGTGTTGCAGGGAATCACCGTGAGCGGCTTTTGCAAAACTTTTGGCGTGGCAAAACTGTAATTAATGTTTTAGAAACTCCGGGGAAGGTTTATTATTGGCAGGGTGAGAATGAATCCCCAGATGCAAACATTCCTCCGAGATAACAGCGTAGCCTTGGGCGTCAGCTCCGTGCACACGCGCCCGTCGGTGCAGCTCGGGTTGGCATAGGTAATTCTGCAGATGTCATCTGGATACATGGAAAACCATCGGCACCTCTTTCTCAGACTTGGAAAACCAGCCATTCTCCCTGACTGTAAAGGTCCTCTGCATTTCCCCCCACTGAGTTTCCCCCTCATTTTGTTTCTTGATGTACATGTGGAAAAATCCCCTGTCTATTTGTTGTACCGCCACGGAGTCACCACAAGCATGGAAGAAACCTGCTCTTACTCCGCATCCATGCCCACATCTGCATCCATGGAGCTTGAGATAGGGGAGATCTCACCTTTAAACCCTTCATCGAACCCAGTGAACCAAAGGGACTGTGTCGTCACGAGGGGGTGAAAAGGAATAAGATTGGTAATTTGGCAAATGCTTATTAGAGAAGAGCTGTTTCTCGATGCGCTGTTCTTGGGATCTCTGTTTATGGGAGTCAGGAACATGAGTAAGTTGTCACCAAGGGGTCCCACAAAGGCAACAGATGAGTTTCCCCTCTTGGCTTCTGCTTGTGTGATAGCAATCTCGTTTCACTGCTTGGTAGAAAACTGCGAAGGTAACTCGCAGACAGACAGGCATGCTGGAAACGTACCGGCTGTGGCAGAGCACAGACATGCTCCGAAGCCCGGGCGAGCAGGGTCCCTTGCACAATCCTCTGAGCTAACAGCAAAGGCCATGCGAAGCCCCGCACTTTGGCTTCTCGCACCCGGCACTGATGCAACTGCGAAAGGGGGGGCTCTACATCTGCTCATGGCTGCTGAAAAGGGCTAAAATGAGCCCTTTCTCATCGAGCTGTTTTCAGCTGGCCTCAGTTCCACCCTCGGGTTCCTGGTGCAGC